CGAAACTGATGATGATGCTGATGATGATGATGATGATGATGATGATGGTGATGATGCTGATGCTGCTGCTGCTGATGATGATGATGATGATGGTGATGATGATGCACACGACGGCGAGAACGACGGCGAGAACGGCGATGAACATGACGCTGATGGTGATGCTGATACTGATGATGCTGATGATGCTGATGCTTATGCTGATGCTGCTACTGATGCACATGCTGCTGCTGCTGATGAGGATGCTGTTGCTGATGATGCTGATGGTGCTGCTGCTGCTGATGATGCTGATCATGCTGATGCTGATGATGATGCTGCTGCTGATGACGATGCTGATGCTGACCATCATGATGATAACGCTTATTATGATGCTGATGATGCTTCTGCTGATGATAATCATGATGCTCATGCTGATGCTGCTCACGATGATGACGATGATGCCGATGATGGTGATGATGTTCTTGATGCTGATGCTGCTGATGATGATGACGATGATGATGCTGATGATGCTTGTGATGAAGATGATGACGATGGTGGTGGTGATGATATTGATGATGACGATGCTGCTGATGCTGATGATGATGATGAACATGATGATGCTGATACTGCTGCTGCTGCTGCTGCTGCTTCTGCTGCTGCTGCTGCTGATGATGATGATGATGATGATGATGATGATGATGATGATACTGATGATGCTGCTGCTGATGACGGTGATGATGCGGAGGAGGAGGAAGATAATCAGGAGGATGCGGAGGAGGAGGAGGAGGAGGAGGAGGGGGCATAGGTGAAGGCGAACGCTTGTCCTGATTTGTCGAAGTGTATGGCATTGAATCAGAGTTCTGCCAAAGACGCATGGTCGTTGTTGAGAATTCCACGCTCCCGTCGAACGTAGCTCCACTGGACAAGCTTGTCCTCATGGCCGCTCTGCCAAGGGCCACAGAGGCGAGGCTTTTGATGCGACGACCTGCCTGGTCAACCACTGTGAACGCGACGAGCAGCCCTCTGCCCAGTTCTGGAAAGAGGGCCTCTGAAGTATATTTGTGATGGACTACGAGCCGCTTTCCAAGACTGCCTCCGGTCGTTCACAGACGACACACAATCACGTGACTCCAGCTTTTGATCCCTTCCCTGCTCGGTGCCTTCCAGAGCGTTTGCCGTCGTGCACGGTTTACGAGGCCATATGGCGCCAGATGAAACACATCCGAATGCCAGTTCCCATCGTGCAATGCATAATGGATGTGGGACAGATCTCGCTTCAAAACCAGCGAGCGAATTTCATCTGCCATTTAGATGGCGGGACTCGGGCGCACAGTTGTTCGGCATCTGCTTGGATGTTGCAGGCGACTGTCACGCGTTCCGATGAGTGTATTTTGAGCACCGGACCGGTTCTTGTGCAGACTCGTGTCTCAGCAGTGCTCGTCAAGCGCGCCCGAACATCATACATTTTTTATGCCGCTTCACGTCGTCTTGCAGTGCTGACTTGAACGGTCTGGCCAATCACACTCGGAGATCGGCGGTGTCGGAAAGAAGACATGGAGGAATGGTGGTGGAATCGGGTGAAACAGGAGCACCAGGTCTCCTCATGTGATCGTTTTCTGATTCGTTGTTTTGCCGATCGGCGCGGGCTCTCGCCCCCCCCCTCCGCCCCCCCATGGAGTAGATCTTGGCCGTTTTGGGCCCCTGCTTCGAGCAGGCGGACTCTCCCCCCCACAGTGGAGGCACGGATGCAGACGGTCGCGCTAAGCAGAGGTCTGGAGCCAGACCCCCCTCCTCTCCCACACCCCCCTTCCGCCCGATGCCGAGACGCCGAACAAGAGCACGCTCGCCAGCACAGGTCTGCACGGCACTGTGCGGGAGAAGCCCCCCCCCCACCCCCCTTTGAGACAGCCGAGGGCTCCCCGGGCCTGCCGTGTGGACGGGGGGCCCCGTCCCGAAGAGGAGCGGCCCACCACTGCCGGGCCAGAAGTACCGACTCTTCTTTTTCTGGCTGTGCGAGAGTACCACAGTGCATGAGCACGACGAGTTGGGGGACATACAGTCGGGGCCCTGAAGAAGGAACCCTTTTCGTTGGGGAGGGGCTCCGTGTTCCTTAATTGTTTCGCAGCTTGCCTTGGATTTTCCTTAGGCTTTCGGTACGAAATCGAAGTTCAACTTATGGAATAGAGGGGCCTCGTCCCTTATTTAGGGTTCCTTAGGTCAACGCCTCGATTGTACTCTAAAGCGAGCTGAGGGACATAAGGAGCGGAAGCGAGCGTGTGCCCGCGGCCGCGTCGGCTCAAGCGGCCGGTCGCCTAGATACAAGTGTGCCTCACCGCGAGGCACACGATTGCTATCGAGACCGAAAGGACCCTCCTATTGCTTAAGATGGCACACCCTCTCCTACTGGGACTATCGCTACTACGGTACAACAGAGCTGGAGCTTGGCTTCGCCTAAGGCGAAGCTGCTGGTTGGGTCTCCCACTCCCTTTTGAACTTGGTAGCAGAGCTGGCTTATGGTGGTCAGCTCTTGCTCTACTCCTCACCATCCACGGCACTATCTGGTGGACTACATACATGGTGGAACATCAGGGTGCAGTGGGTTTGCGCGGAAGAATATATATATATATATAAATATATATATATATATATAAATATAACTACGCATCATCGCAAGGACACTTGCAGCGATTCCTCTGCTTACGCGGAGGTCTTTTCCTTACGTCCTACATCCCTGCGCTACTACACTCCTGAAGTCCACCCACCGATTCCAATTGGAAATCCTTCGAATACGCAGTGCGTGGAAACATGCGATACGATACAGTGCCGCTTCCACCCCCACGCGGATTTACGACTACACAGTGGAAGCCACAACCGAGTACATCCGACCACGACCTACGGGGCCACTGGACTGGTGTTATTATTTTTGAAACATGGGTCGCTATCGGGTGTGCGGTACGACATGTGCGTGGCGGAGACGACACAAGAACGACTGGACCTCTCTGGGACCCAGCCGGTCAAGTACCTTTCCACGAATTCGCCCGCGAGGTACATGCCCGGATCAACGTGACCACAGGCAACGTGACGCCCTCCCAGCAGGCTGCAGCCTTACAGCGATGTGTGGGAGGTCTCGCACGGACCATCGCCATGAGAGTCCCCCCGGCAGTTATCAACATTGGCGTTAACATAGGTGGTCGCCATACCGACGGCGTCACCTACATCATGTTCCTCTTAAGCAGTAAGTTCGAGAATTTAGAAGAGAAGCGCCAAATCAACTCTGATACAGCTCTCATTGAGTTCGGAGTCCATGCGGGAGAAGGTGGTGGTGATGATGATGCTGATTATGGTGGTGATGGAGGTGGTGGTGATGATGCCGATGACGATGATGATGGTGATGGTGATGGTGATGGTGGTGGTCATGATCATGATGTTGATGTTGATGATGACGGTGATGATGATGGTGATGATGATGAGGATGATGATGATGTGGATGATGAAGATGAGAAGGATGATGAGGATGATGATGATGATGGAAATGATGATGCTGATGATGATGATAATGATGATGATGATGATGATGATGATGCTGATGATGATGATGATTATGATGATGATGATGCTGATGATGATGCTGCTGATGATGATGATGCTGGGGAGGAGGAGGAGGAGGGAGGAGGAGGAGGAGGAGGAGGAGGAGGAGGAGGAGGAGGAGAGGGGGGAGGGGAGGGGGGGGGGGGGAGGGGGAGGGGGAAAGGGAGAGGGGGAGGAGGAGGAGAGGAGGAGGAGGATGAGGAGGAGGAGGAGGAGGAGGAGGGAGGAGGAGGAGGAGGAGGAGCAGGAACAGGAGCAGGAGCAGGAGCAGGAACAGGAAGAGGAGGAGGAGGAGGAGGAGGAAGAAGAATAATAATAATAAAAATGTGAAGAAGAAAATGAATAATAATAAGAAGAATCATAAGAATAAAAAGAAGAATACTAAGAATAATAATAATATTCAACATAATAATAAGAAGAAAAATAAGAATAATAATAAGAAACATAAGCATACTATTAAGAAGAAGAAGAATAGTAATACTAATAATAAGAAGAAGCATACTAAGGAGAATAATACGAATACTAAGAATCATAACCATAAGAAGAAGAATAATAATAATAACACGAATAATACTAAGAAGAAAACTAAGAATAATGATATCAATGATAATATGAAGGACACGAAGAATAACATTAATAATACCAATAAGAATAATACGAATAATCATACTAATAAGACTAATAAGAATAATACGAAGGAATACTAATACTACGAATAAGAATAAGAAGAAAACTAATAATACGTAGAAAAGTAATAATATTAAGAAGAAGAAGAATATTCAGAGTAAGAATAATAATACGATGAATAAGAAGACGAATAATAATAGTACACTTAATAATAATAATACTAATACTACTAATATTAATAGTAATAATAATAACAATAATAATACTATAATAATTATAATAATATCAATACTAATAATACTAATAATAATATTAATACAATACTAATAATAATGATGCTACTAATCGTACTACTACTACTACTACTACTAATAATAATAATAACAACAATAATAATAATAATAATAATAATAATACTAATAATACTAATAATAATAATAATAATAATAATAATAATAATAATAATAATATTATTATTACTAAGACTAATAAGAAGAGTAACGATAATACTAAGAAGAGGAGGAGGAGCAGGAGCAGGAGCAGGAGCAGGAGGAGGAGGAAGAGGAGGAGGACGAGGATGAGGAGGATGAGGGGCAGACCGACCACCATCGCAGACCGCAGGTGGTGATGAGGACGCTGGCGAGGACGCGGGCGAAGGGGAGGGCCACGCGGATAGGGAACGAGGGTGGAAGAGGAGGGGGGCAGGAGCAGGAGGAGGAAAGGGAGGAGGGGGAGGAGCAGGAGGGAGGGCGATGGGGGAGTGGGAGGATCAGGAGCAGGAGGGAGAGGATGAGGAGCAGCTGGGGGAGGAGGAGGATAAGGCTGGCCAGCAACAGGATGAGGCTTGCCAGCAAGAGGATGAGGCGAACCTCCGACAGTCCATCGGCGAACAGCTCTATGTCCTCGTGCAGAACATCGTGCGCGACGCTCCTGCCAAGCAGGTCGCGCGCTGCCGCTGGCTGGAGGGGGGTGGAGGACGAGGCTCCTCTCCTTGATCCTCCCCCTCTTCAATTGAACCATACGAGTACTACTCTCCTCTTTCCCCTGGCGGCGTCCGGGGATGGTTCGGCCCCCCTCCGCGTATTGCAGGATCTCCGGGAGGGGGGTTTTCGCTTGTTTTTTGTGTGTTGTTTTCCTCTCTCGAAATGCTGCTCTCGCTGAAGCGCTGGCCCCCCGAAACAAACCATCGGAAGTAATTCCACATTCGTCGATTCGTTAATTTTTTGGACCGCAGAAGCCCCCCCCCACTTTTGGGGCGTCGCCACGCCATGCTATGCCAGGCTACGCGACCTCATTTCCGTGCTTCTGGTTTTGGTTTTTGTTCAACATGCTGCTCTAGTTGAAGCCTTGGCGGGCTACCGCGTTCCGAATTGTGCTCCCGCTGCAGCGCTGGCCTCATTTCCGCGCTTCCGCTCGTTCCGAATCGTGCTCCCGCAGCAGCGCTGGCATCATTATTTCCAGCGCCATGCCATGGCATGGTTTTCGGTCCTTCCAGATGGCCCCCAAATCTAGAAAATGGACCCCCGACAAGACCATCGGAAATGATTACACATTCGGTGTCGATTTGCTGATTTTTTGGGCCGCAGAAGCCCCCACTTTGGGGCGTCGCCACGCCGTGCTATGTCAGGCTACGCGTCCTCATTTCCGCGCTTCCGCGCTGGGCTTTTTTCAACATGCTGCCTTCGCTAAAGCGCTGGTCTCATTTTCGGGCTACCGCTCGTTCCGAATCGTGCTCCCGCTGCAGCGCTGACCTCATTTTCGGGCTACCGCTCGTTCCGAATCGTGCTCCTGCTGCAGCGATGGCTTCATTATTTCCAGTGCCATGCCACGGCATGGTTTTCGGTCCTCCCAAATAGGCCCCCAAATCAGCAAAAGTGGCCTCCCGAGGAAACCATCGGAAGTGATTACACATTCGGTGCCGATTCGTTGATTTTTTTGGCCGCAGAAGCCCCCACTTTGGGGCGTCGCCAGGCCATGCTATGTCATGCTACGCGTTAATCTTTAGCACCATGCTATGCCATGTATTGCTATGCCATGCTGCGACATCCGCTTGTGCGATTAGAGAGGAGATCTACGCCATGGTAAGGGATGGGAGGGGTAGGACGTCAGATATGACGCGAGCGCACCTAGCTTGTCCCTTCCCCCCCCTCCCCCTCCCTCTTCTTCGTCCTCTCCCATTTCCTTTTCAGGACCCTCAAGCTGTTCTCGAACGCCTCATCCGTTTTTCATTTTCCTGAGAGCCCTCAGGGTGCACTCTTTCGAGGCTCTGGCACTTCATCAGATCATTGGTGCTGCTCTCTGCTCTCTCTCTCTCTCTTTCTCTGGCTCGGGTCCATTGTGCCCAGCTGGTCTTTCCTTCCGGCCCCGCGAAGCGGGAGCCCGCCTTGTGCGGCGCGGCCTGGCATCTGACGTTGCTTTCATGCCTTCAGCCTTCAGCCTCCACCTCCTGCTCCATTCTTTTTCCTTATAATTCCATATGCAAGGGTTTCACGGATTCACGGCGGGTAGTTCTCTACATGTGGCTCTCGCCCTAGCGCCGCACACATTCGTTCAACAAATTTGCAACAGTTTCACGGACTCAGGACAGGTCGTTTCAAAATGTGGCTCTCGCCGCGCATATTCGTTTCAAAACTTTGCAATAATTTCACGGGTTGAGGGCGAATGGTTCTGAACATGTGGCTCACGCCTTAGCGCGTGCACATTCGTCTAAACATTGCACGAGTTTCAAGGGCTCCCATGGCCAGCGTGCCAGAAATGATGTTTGGGAAGGACTCAGGATTGTGAGGGCGCAACAGTTACGTTCATTCGCGGTGTTGAAGTCCCAAGATCGTGTTCTGGTACGACTCAGGACCGTCAAGACGCAACAGTCATATTGATTCGTGGCTTCGGAATCTCGAGTATGGCTCTTGGCACGCTTCACGGTCTTCGAACGGTTGTCTTCCAACGGTGCGGTGCCCTCAGTGTAAATGAACCATTGCAAGGGCCTGTGAAGAGGGAGCCTGGAGGGAGGGTTTACTTCAACATCGTTGATGAGTTTTTGGTTTCCGCTGGTCCTTATCCTCCTCTTCCTCCGTCTCTTCCTCCTCCTCCTCCTCCTCCTGAGGGCAAACATGCTCTCGGCTGCGATCCCTCCCCCATCGTGGCGTCCTGGCGCGCTGGTATCTGCCCCCTCCGACCTCGGTGTTGACGGGGGTCGTGCGGATCCCAGGGTCTGTTGCGATTTCTTCAATAGGTGACGTGTCCTCTCTGGCCCAGTTTTCGGTTCGTCGGCTTGCATGAGTCACCAACGCCGATGTAATCGTCACATTAGAAACCTGGCAGGCATTTTTGCGATCCACAATATTTGTATGCCCCCTGTGTGGCAAGAGTAACGTGTATCCTTTCGTTCGGCCGATTTTGAATCACGGTTGGGCGCAGATGCTGACCCTTGGGCACGTCGACGCCGCGCAACGGCGGGTTAATGAGGTGCTGCATGAATGCGACCTGCTTGGCCCGCGCCTCGCGTTGCAGGCGAAAAAGGCCGAGTTCGAGGGGACCCTCGTGCAGGTTGCGGAGGCCGCGGACTTCAGCGTGGAGGAGGCGCGGCAGCCGCCGAGAGAGCTTGTGAGTCAGGCCGTTGCTGAAGAAACCGTTTCTGAAACGCCTCCGGGCGTGCAGTGGTTGCTCAGAGCGAGCCATGCTGGAGGACGCCGCGGCGTGCCTACGTTTGGCGGACACCTGGGGCACGGCCGAAGCCCCGCGGGGACCCGCTTGGCGCGAAAGTGCGGCGAGGCCGCGGAGGAGGGCCGGCGTGGACTGGAGGTGCAGGAGTGAGTTCGGCGGAAGCCCCGCCTGATGGGAACGCCCTTCCTCGAGACGGCGCAGGCTTGCGTGGACCTGGGGCGGGTGAAGAACGGCATCGCTGGCCGCGCGCGCATCAACGCGGTGAGGTCGCACGTGCGTGCCATGGGGACGATGTGCAGGGGGCTTCTGCGCGCGCGCGCAGGGTCCCGTGGCCCGTGGCGATCGTGCAGTTCGTAGACCACGTGCCGAGCCGTGCGGGCCGACATTTCCCAACCAGACACTGCGCGCCTTGGTCTGGACGTAGTGGATCGCAGGTATCGCTGCGAGCGATCGGCTCTCCGTCCGGCCGGAGGCGCAGCAGTTCGTCGCGAATGTGGATCTGCTTCTCGGCGTTGGCGAGGGGCCGACGACGAGGGCAGCGCCTTTCCCATTGCGTGCATTTGAGCCCTGGAACGGCTGGTCATGGACGACGGCCTCACGCCGTGCTTGCGCGCGGTGTCGTGGCTTTGCCCCGTCAAGGTGTGGGGGGTGCGATGCGGCGACCGCAGCTGGCTACCGCCCCAGCGTTTTTGTCTCGCGGGCGGAGGGCTGAAGGCCGCGCTGGGTCGCGCGAAGACCAGCGGAGCAGGGCGCAAGATGCCAGAACTGCCGTTCGCGGTGTGCCGGGAGTGCTGCGCGTTGGGCCCAGCGTGGGCCCGCGCGGGTTTCGACTTGTGGCGGCAGGCCGCAGATTTCGAGAGGGGGTACTTGCAGCCGAGTTGCGACGACGTTGGTCTGGTGGTTGTCCGCAAGCCTGCCAGGCGCGCCGAGGCATCGGCAGCGGGCCAGGATGTGCTCCGGTTGATGATGAAGCCAGCAGCGCACACAGGATTTCGAACTCCTCCTCTCAGGATATCGCGGGTGTGTAGAGAGCGCCCGGAGCGGGCGACGGCCCCCGTGGCCGCGGCGGCATTGGGGCCTCGAGGAGTGGCCGCGGAACGCCGGGCAGGTGGTCGCCTGGGCGGGCGAGAACCTGCGCGAGGACATGCCGCGCGGTCGGGCCGAGCTCCAGGAACAGTTCGGATGGGCATCATTCAGGGAAGTCCTGCGCGGCACTGGGCGAGTCGGCGGCCGTCCCATATCTGGCGACTTTGCCGGCGTCGAGGACGCAGAGAGCGGCGGGCGTGGCAGCCGAGACCTGCGTGGCCCTCGGGGCCTGCGCTGGCGGATTGGCGATGGCGCCCCAGGGCGGCGAGGGCGAGCTAGGCAGCGTGCTAACCTCAGAGGCCGCCGTTGAAGATGGGGGGCCGGATGTCGTCGCGCCAACTGCGGTGGCGGCGGCGCCCCCGCGGAGGGCGCCGATGGCGTGTCGCGGGCGTGGCGGCGCTGATTGGGGCAGCTGGGCGAACGTCCAGACCGGCGGCGGGGGGGCGTTCCGCCGTCGAGTTCAAGGGCGCCGAGGGGGCCCGCCGCTACTCCACTGTGTGCGGGATGAAGCGCGAGGTGGCCAGACCTCGCGGTCGGGGGCCATGGCTGGGCGAACGGCGAGTCGCCGCGAGCTCGACTGGCGTCGGCGACTTGCCGGGTCCAATGGATTTTGTCGTGGTCCACAGGATGCGCTGGCGCTTCGCGTCGGCCGAGGCGGCGCAGGCGGCCGAGGAGAGCGAGGGCGACGACTCGCGGCCGCCGAGCTCCGCCAGCTCCGACGGGTCAGAGGGGTCTTTCGTGGGGAAGGCCGCGGCGGGCCCCGCGTGGAGCCCCCATCGGCGGGGGCGCGCCTGCCCCCGCCCCGCCCCTCGGCTGGCGGAGCTGCCGCGAGGGTGCCAGCTGCTGAGGGCCTCGCGCGACCCGTGGTGGCGGGCCCTCCCCCGCCCTCCGCCGACCAGACAGGCCGAGGGTCATGCCCGAGGGCATGCTGCGCGCTGGGCGCGGCCCCCGCGCCCGACCGAGAAATGGCCGGATACAGTCCAGTCTCGGCAGGGGCGGGCCGCGCCCAAGTCAAAACTTTTTGCTCGCCCGGAGGGCGCTTCCGAAGCCGCGTCGGCCAGTGGGCGCCCTCCCGCGTCGGCGGCCCCCGCCCGCGGGCCCCCGTCCGCCGCGGGCGGTTGGGGGGGCCGTGGCGGGAGGTGGTGGCATCGCAGTGGGAGTGCGTGTGGGGGCCTTGTGGCGGACGGTCAGGGCTTCGGGGCCGCGTCGCACGAGGCCACCGTTTTTTCGAGCAGGGGGGGGCGTTGCCCTGTCGGCGACCGCTCAGCTCGATTCGAACGGTTTGGATGGAGACCCGCGTGGTCTCCGGCGCAGTTCCGACGGGCCCTCGGCGTCGCCTTCGCGACCGGGTGCGGGGGGGGGGGGGGGGCGCCTCGGCCGCGCGCCGCCGAAGCTCGCGCGGGATGAGCAGGGGGTGCGTTCAAACTGCCGAACTCGGACCAGCGGGCGAATGAGGGCGTTCCGTTGTGCGCGCAGGCAATGCTTGACTCCAGCGGAGTGACGAGCATGGGAGAGCTCGCCAACGTGATGAACTCGGGCGACGACATCAGGGCGTTCGCCATGGATTCGCTCCAAGTGGACGCGGAGGCCGGGATGGGGTCTCGCGCGAAGGCGGCCGCGCCTGCGCGCGCCGGCGTGCGCGTGGCAGTCGGTGCGCGCTCAAACCAACCAGCGTCAGAAGATGGAAGGCGATGCCGACGCGCGCCGGGGAGGCAAGTCACTGGGCGTAACCGATCGCCGGGCGAAGCAGCTGAATTTCTAGAACGCACTCTGGAAGCTCGAGGAGCCAGGTGCAGGCAAAGTCCTACCTCGCGTGATCAGGCAGACAGAGATCGACTGGGGGGCGGTCGGGGCAGAGGCGCTCGCGTCGTCCTACTCAGCCGAGCAGGATGAGGACCTTGACCTCCCAGCTCTGGCGTGGCCCACTTGGATGGCGATGCGCTCTGGGAAGGCCGCGCCCATCGCGGTCGAGCCCCCGCGGGGCCCGGGGGCGCCGCGGAAGCGCGTTGGGTTTCGGGCAGTCCCGCGCGATCGGACAGAAGAGTTTCAGAGTGGGGGCCCGCGGCAGTGCCGGGCGCATTTTGACCGCGTGCTAGAGGGGCGCGTCTGGGACCTCGTGGCAGGGAGGGCCGCGCCCCCCCCCTTTGGCGCCGCGAACTCCAGTGCGAGCACCAGGCGCGCGAGAGGGGCTGGCAGCTGGCGCGGCAGCGGGGGCGCGCAGTTCGGCGCGGCGTTCCGGAGGGCGAATGCCCATCGGTCGGGGGGAGGCATATCGCGGCCCCGTTGGCCCTCGCTGGCGCGGCAGACCCCGGCAGGCGCGCAGAAGGCGGCGACGAGGCATCCGGCGAGGACAGGGGGCCCAGCAAGACGATCTGCTTAAGGAGCGCAATTCCAAGATGGCCAAGTGCGACCCGGAGGAATGCCGCGTCCTTCGCGCGCGCTCGCTCTGCCTTGCGCAGGGCCGCCAGCGGCGCCGAGTGCAGGGGCCGACCCGCGGGGGGGGGCGGGCGCGTCCTCTCGGCCCCCCCTGGCGGCGCCGCCGACCCAAGGCGCCCCGAAGGGCAAGCGGCCGCTGCTGGCGCTGCTGGGCAGAGGCGGCAGACGGCGCCAGGCGGCCCGAGGTGGGCGCGTCCTCGCAGCCGGGCCCCGCGCGAGGGCAGCCCGCGCTATCGGCGTGGGGCGGGGTGGGGGGTGGGGCGGGCGGCTTGCGCAGGGCGACGGCGCGCCTCCCGGGGGCGCGGGCGACGGCTCACCGAGGAGGTCCGCGGCGAAGGAGAGGCTCCGCGCGCCCCGGGGGCGGGCGCCCGCCTCGCGAGATCATGCTAGTTCCCGCGGGCGAAATCCAGAAGCGGGAGTCGCCCCCGTGGGCCACGTGGGGCAACCCCGAAGAGCGGGGGGCGCAGGGGCGGGGCAGAAGCCGGGCGCCCCAAAAATCCAGGGGGCGGGGCGCAGGGCGCAGCTGCAGCTGACGGTGCTCCGCGTGTTCGCAGGGCGCAAGCGGCGGGCGAATGTCGCGGCTTCCGAGCGCAGTTTCGGCGCGCTGGCGCACCTGGGAGTGGCCGGCCTGGCCGCGCCACGCGATGCCGACCTCGCCGACGCGGCGCTGCAGGGCGACTGCCGCGAGAGGCTGGCAACGGATGGGGCGCGCTCGTGGTCTCGCCCCCCCGCGGCGTCTGGCCGCGCGTGGGTGGGCCGCGGAGGGCCGCGCCCGGCGCGGTCAGATAATTGAGTGCCTTTGGTGCTTCCGCTGGCTGGGGCGCCAGGGTGCAGTCAAGGGCCCCGCGTCCGCCCAGTTCGCCGACTTCGCCCTCTGCGCGCTGAGGGCCCCGCTGGCGAGATGCAAGCGGGCGGCCAGCCTGCGGCGCCCCCCCGAGGACTTCAGCGCTGTTCGACATGGCGAACTCCGCGGTCAGCGCCCTTCCAGCATGTGGCAGCTTCCGATGGGCGGCGAGCTCCTCGTCCTCGACGGCGCGAGCGGCGGCCTTCCATCGAGGCAGCTTCGGCGCGCGGTGCCCGCGGCCCGCGCGCCTCGTCGTCTGGTTCCCAGGACTGGCCGCCGACCTGCGGCTTGGCGCTATATGCCCGCGTCCGAACAGAAGCCTGTAGACTTCGACAAGTTCGATCCCAAGCGCGGGTTCTTCAAGCGCGGCGCGCGCATGCCCTTGATGATCTTCGTGGGCGAGTCTGGCCAGGCGCGGCGGGCGAGACCCCCCCGGAGACGGCGAAATTCTAACGCAGACAGGCGCGGCTGGACTTGGGAAAAGAGGCAAGGCCGCCTCCAGGTGGCAGGGGGGAGGGGCATGAGCACCGACCTGGTGAAGGTGCCAACAGCCGCGGTAGCGGTGAGCAAGGCGGCTATTTTCACGGCGAGGGTGGAAAGTGTGGCGGCAAGGATCGACGGTGGTGGGGCGACCAGGGCGGCGCCTGATGGGGCGACCGCGGATGGCAACCACGGCGATGATGAGTGCTTATTGCTGGGCACCCGCGGTCGCGGGGAGTAGGTGCTAGTGCGTCGCCGAGCACTGCATAAGCGCTGCGCAACAAAGAAAATGTAGAGCGGCAGCCAGAAAAATGAGAGAGAGAGAGAGAGAGCTTCAGACACATGAGAGAGGATTCGTTGTCATTGAAAGGGTTCCAGCGACAACCTTGTCGAAGGGTTCCAGCGACACATTGTCGCAGGGGTTGGTTGTCAGGGGTTTCGATTTGTTTCCTGCTTCACTCTTATTGCGCCAGTCGCATTACATGTTGACTGCGCAGCGGCGTTTGTCTGTGTCGATTTCTCTTGGATTCTATGTCACGCGAGGTCCGTCTACGATGCGAGCTGTTGAGATTACTCGGTCTTTCTTTGCGTGGCCATGATCAAATCTCAAATCACATGCTTGTGATCTCTTGTGCAATCGCCTACCTGTGAAGCCAGGCCTGTGCGTGGGACATCAAGGTGTGTACCCTCTTTCCGACAAATCTCGAAGCCCCCGCCGTGGTGCGCCGGCGGTTTGCGCGGGCTCCGGGCCTGCTGTCCGCCCTGCTCATTGCGCCAAAATGGTTGCGGGCCATCTCCTCCGCATTCCTCTCTGGTATTTTTTCTCCTCTTCTACTTCCCTCTTCCATTCCTTTTCCTCTACTTCCTTCTTCCCTCATCCTCGTAATGCTTCTCTTGCCAGTTACCTGTTGATCCGTGGTCCTTGTCCACTCGGTCCTCCTCCTCCTCCTCCTCCTCCTCCTCCTTTTCCTTGTTTTCGGTTCTCCTTTCCTTGGAGGCGAATGTCTGCCCCCAAGTAAAACGGGACGAGAAAATCTCGCCCGGATTGCAAAAGGCAGGTTCCCGAATTACGCGGAGATTCCACGGTCCAGGCAGTGGCTTTTGAGCGAGAGAGAGAGAGAGAGAGAGAGAGAGAAAGCGAGAGAGAGAGAGAGAGAGAGCGGTGGTTATAGCAGGGGCTGCCGGCGCGGCTCCTTCGCCCGACCGCTGAGGACCTCACCATTTTTCCCTTCTCTTTTCTTTTCTCTGCGCGCCGTGCTGCGCAAAAGGTTCGAAAAACGGGTCTGCCGGCCTCCTCCGGGCTGGGACGGTTGGCAGCCTGGTAAGAGCGTGTTTGGGTTTTGAGCGCAAGGACGTTTTATCTGGGCGGCGTCGCCAACTCCCAGCTGTATCGTGGCAGTTGCACGTCGAGGTTGAATCCTCAGCCTTCTTCCTCCTCTTCATCCTGTTGTTCCTTGTTGACGTTGCGCGGACCTAGATCGGTTGATCATTTCCTTCTATTCCTCCTCCTCCTCCTCCTCCTCCCCTCCCCCTTTCTCCGAGGTTCCTTTTGGGCAGTCCGCAGCCGCCCGGCGCCGTGTACAGGTGCCCGCGTTCTTGGTGGCCCAGAAGATCACCGGGATGCTGCTCGAGTTGCCCGAACCGGAGCTTGCCCGCCCTGGGAGGGGGGCAGGATGTTGGCGAGACACTCTTTGTCCTCCGTAGCCGCGGCCCCAGCACTCGTCCCTCTTTAGGGATGGGTGGCCACCGAGGTCAGGCGTGTCTGAGCGTCCAAGTCCGGAAGTGTACACCGCCACGGTCTGCGGGCAACGGCCCCTGACCCAGACCGGGGGGGAAGGGGGCGAAAAAACGAAAGGGCATTTGCGTGGGCGGCCCGGGAGGGGGAAGGAAGAAACGGGGGACGGGGGACGGGGTGCGGTGGTCGTGTCGTGGCGCTGGTGCGGCTGCCGTCTCCTCCACCTCTTCCTCTTCCTCTTCAGCCTCTACCTGTTCCTCCTTGCCCTCAGCCACTTCTCCTCGTCCGCTTCCGTTTCCGCCGCCTCCTCCTCCTCTTCGTTTTGTCTCTCGGATGCTAATTTTGTGTTTTCGGAGTGCTGGGGGCTGATCGACGGGAGTCCCCTGGCTATCACCCCCAGCGTGACGGCGCCCACGTTAACCCACGTGTGACGCTTTGGCCTTTGCGACTGCACATCGAGAGGATGCGGACTCAACGGTATGTCTGGGCATTTTTGAACATGTTATGTGTGTGATCTTGCATGGCGCGCACACGCAGACACACATAAACACACACACATGCACGCACATACACACCCACACACGCACGCATACACACAGACACAGACACAGACACAGACACAGACATAGACACAGACACACACACATGCACACACACTCGCACGCACGTACGCACGCACGCACGCATGCACGCACGCGCGCGCGCTCGCGCTCGCGCACGCGCACGCGCACGCGCACGCGCACGCGCACGCGCACGCGCACGCGCACGCGCACGCGCACGCGCACGCGCACGCGCACGCGCACGCGCACGCGCACGCGCACACGCACACGCACGCGCACACGCAGACGCACACGCACACGCACAGGCACAGGCGCAGGCACAGGCACAGGCGCAGGCACAGGCACAGGCACAGGCACAGGCACAGGCACAGGCACAGGCACAGGCATTGGCACAGGCACAGGCACAGGCACAGGCACACGCCGCACACGCCGCACACGCCCACGCACGCACGCACGCACACGCACATGCACACGCACACGCACACGCACACGCGTACGCACAGGCACACACACACACACACGCACACGCACACGCACACGCACACGCACACGCCGTACACGCAGACGCGCACGCACACGCACACGCACAGAACACAACACACAAACACGCACACACAACTCACAACACACGCAGCACACAGCACACACACAACACACAATACACAAACACCATACACAACACACACACACGCACACACGCACGCGCATACACACACGCACGCACACACACAACACACAACACAACACACAACACACAACACACAACACACAACCCACAATCCATAATACACAACACACAACACACAACACACAACACACAGTACACAACACACAATAATCAACACACAACACACAACACAACACACAACCCACAATCCATAATACACAACACACAACACAACACACGCACACGCACACGCACTCACAATCGCATACGCACGCACGCACGCGCCCACGCACGCACGCACGCACACGCACACGCACACGCACACGCACACGCACACGCACACGCACACGCACACGCACACGCACACGCACACGCACAGGTCACACGCATACGGACAAGCACACGCACACGCACACGCACACGCGCACACGCGCACGCACGCACACACGCGCACGCGCGCGCACGCGCACGCGCACGCGCTCGCACTTGCGCTCGCACGCGCACGCGAACGCGCACACGCACACGCACACGCACACGCACACGCACACGCACACGCGCATCCGCACACGCACACGCACACGCACACGCACACGCCCACGCCCACGCCCACGGCCACGGCCACGGCCACGGCCACGGCCACGGCCACTCCCACGCTCGCGCGCGCACGCGCGCACGCACGCACGCACGCACGCACGCCCGCCCACGACTAACTGCACGGGGGAGAGGGACCGCCCGGCGAAGGCAGGAGGGAGAGGGAAGCCTGGCCCGCTCAGAGCGGAGCCAGGCGGCGGCAGGGCGGCGCCGGGGGTAGGATCAGCAGCCGCAGGGCGCCGGCGGGGGGGGGGGCACACCCACACCCACACCCACACCCACACCCACACCCACACCCACACCCACACCCACACCCACACCCACACCCACACCCACACCCACACCCACATCCTTGTTCCTTATTATTATATACCCCCACCTACCTCGTATTCCGGCCGATAGCGACCCAATCTGGGACCTCCCAACCGGACTGTAAAAAATCATTATCCCGGCAAAGCAACCTAACAGCGATGTGTAGAAGCATATCTGAAAGCATTCCCCTTAAGATTCAGATGAAAATCCAGTTGTAGAATTCTGCTGTTCTCGCAGTCGTAGTCGCATTCGCGTGACAGTCGCAGCGGCAACGGCAGTCGCAGTCGCAGTCACAGCCTCAGCCTCAGCCTGCCTCAGCCTCAGCCTCAGCCTGCCTCAGCCTCAGCCTGCCTCAGCCTCAGCCTCAGCCTGCTTCAGCCTCAGCCTCAGTCTGCCTTCAGCCTCGGCCTCAGCCTCAGCCTGCCTCAGCCTCAGCCTGCATCAGCCTCAGCCTCAGCCTCAGCCTGCCTCAGCATCAGCCTGCTTCAGCCTCAGCCTCAGCCTGCCTCAGCCTCAGCCTCAGTCTGCTTCAGCCTCAGCCTCAGTCTGCCTTCAGCCTCGGCCTCAGCCTCAGCCTGCCTCAGCCTCAGCCTGCCTCGGCCGCAGCATCAGCCTGCCTCAGCATTCAAAATGTGGCCCAGGAATGGAGTTCTGGGAACTAGAAGAACACGAAGTGGCCTACAGTTGGCTCCGGGCATTCAAAATCATGCCCAGGAATGGAGTTCTGGGAACTTGAAGAGCACGAAGTGGCCTACAGTTGGCTCCGGGCATCCAAAATGTGGCCCGGGAATGGAGTTCTGGGAAGTCGAAGATCACGAAGTGGCCTACAGTTGGTTCCGGGCATCCAAAATGTGGCCCGGGAATAGAGTTCTGGGAAGTCGAAGAGCACGAAGTGGCCTACAGTTGGTTCCGGGCATCGAAAATGTGGCCCGGGAATGGAGTTCTGGGAGCACCAAAAGCGATTTTGCGAGGATGTCCCAAGCGATTTGGACTTCGGCGGCATGCCCCGGGTCCCGCCCCGACCCCCCTGTGGAGTCATCTGCTGCTCTCTTTTGCCACTAGAAACCTATCAGCAAAAGCTGTTAGGTAAAAACAAAGTGGCCGTTTTTCTTCTCAACATCGTCATTCTTGTCGTCGACGATGCGAAAAGCGTGGCAGGAATGGGACGCGGCGCACATCGCGCGCGGCAGTCAATCTGGGCCCCCCCATCCTGACTGTAAAAAGTCGATGCGAAGTCTTCGTTTTTTCCTGTCAGCATGGCCTGCCTTGTCGCCGACGGTACGAAATATGTGGCAGCAGTGGGACGCGGCGCGCATATGTGACGCGGCGCACATCGCGCGCGGCCGTCGATCCGGGCCCGCCCATCCTGAGTGTAAAAAGTCAGTCTCTGTTTTTTCCTCTCAGCATGGCCTGCCTTGTCGCCGACGGTGCGAAATATGTGGCAGGAGTGGGACGCGGCGCACATCGCGCGCGGACGTCCATGCGGGCTGCGGGCCCTCCCATCCTGATTGTAAAAACAATACAGCGTTGCCGTTTTTCCTTTCAGCATGGCCTGTCTTGTCGTCGACGTTGCGAAATGCGTGGCAGGAATGGGGCGCGGCGCACATCGCGCGCGGACTTCTGGGGCAACCCCAAGACGGGAGGGGCCACCTTACTTGTCAGAAGAAATGCCATGCTGAGATTCCCTGCCCACATAGCTGTTCTTGTCGTCCACCCCGCAAAAGTGCATGGCAAGAATTGGGCGCGGCACACCCCCCTCCACCCCCCGCTCGAAGTGAATGAAATGACCTTCTCGCTTGGGCGCCGAGCGAAATTTTCTCAAAGTTGCGCTCCTGCTTTGGCTCGGCGCACGTTTTTAGCTCGCCAATTCATTGGGCGCCGGGGCGTTCCAGGAGGCCTTGGGGTGACGAATGCCTGGGAGGTTTTTGCTTGTTCAGGCTCTTGGAGAGCCTCCCGAGGCTCCCCGCGGTCTCTTGGCGTTGCGGCCGTCTGGAAGCCATCTTGGGCGTCTTGGAACGATCTTTCGGCGACTCAGGGCTACTACTACTACTACTACTACTACTACTACTACTACTACTACTACTACTACTACTACTACTACTACTACTACTACTACTACTACTACTACTACTACTACTACTACTACTACTACTACTACTACTACTACTACTACTACTACTACTACTACTACTACTACTACTACTACTACTACTACTACTACTACTACTACACTACTACCACTACCACTACTACTACTACTACTACTACTACTACTACTACTACTACTACTACTACTACTACTACTACTACTACTACTACTACTACTACTACTACTACTACTACTACTACTACTACTACTACTACTACTACTACTACTACTACTACTACTACTACTACTACTACTACTACTACACTACTACTACCTACTACTACTAAGTACTACTACCTACTAGACTACTACTACTACTACTACTACTACTACTACTACTACTACTACTACTACTACTACTACTACTACTACTACTACTACTCTACTACTACTACTAAACTACTACTACTACGACTACTACTACTACTACCACACACTACTACTACTACTACTACTACTACTACTACTACTACTACTACTACTACTACTACTACTACTACTACTACTACTACTACTACTACTACTACTACTACTACTACTACTACTACTACTACCACTACGCGCCAGCACCCAGTTGCGCCAGCATTGTTTCTTATGTTGTGGGAGGGCGGAACGTGTCCGTTGTTCCCTTCAACATGGCCAGTCTTGTCGTCG